CGCCTACAGGAGCAGGACACGCCTCCAAGAGGATGACACGCCTCCAAGAGGATGACACGCCTCCAAGAGGATGACACGCCTACAGGAGCAGGACACGCCTACAGGAGCAGGACACGCCTACAGGAGCAGGACACGCCTACAGGAGCAGGACACGCCTCCAAGAGGATGACACGCCTCCAAGAGGATGACACGCCTCCAAGAGGATGACACGCCTACAGGAGCAGGACACGCCTCCAACAGGATGACACGCCCAAAGGAGCAGGACACGCCTACAGGAGCACGACACCCCTACAGGAAGTGGACGACACCCCTACAGGAAGTGGACGACACCCCTACAGGAAGTGGACGACACGCCTACAGGAAGTGGACGACACGCCTACAGGAAGTGGACGACACATCTACAGGAAGTGGACGACACGCCTAAAGGAAGTGGACGACACGCCTACAGGAAGTGGACGACACGCCTACAGGAAGTGGACGACACGCCTATGGGAAGTGGAAGACACCCCTACAGGAAGTGGATGACACGCCTACAGGAAGTGGACGACACGCCTACAGGAAGTGGACGACACGCCTACAGGAAGTGGACACTCAGTTCAGGGGTTGCAGCAGACATCAGCCACATGTGTCGGCTGCTTACATCACTGTTAGGCTGCAGGAAGCTGTCCCACTTCAGAAGTGCAGAGAAAACCATGAAAATGTAGGCTGCATCTGAGAATCCTGATGACCGACAGTATCCCAGAATTTATCGCACGGTCAGCAAATTAAACAGAAAAACAAAGACAACAAAGGGTTTTTGTTTATATTTCACAGCTGTTTATGCAGCCGATACTGGTGGCCAGTGGTCCATGTAGGATGTGGCCAACCTGGGCCGCAACCCATGAATTGAGACACAGCTGCAGTTTCTATGATGAAAAACCAAAATCTAAGACAAAATAAAGACTTTTGTTAAAATACAGCGAAAGTTAAGAGAGATGTTTGTAGAAATGTTTGGGTTTTTCAGTCTAAGAGAAGCATGAATTATTTAAAACCAGTGACTTGATGAGATAATCTACATCTGCAAACACTCTTCAATCATAAAGCTATGGTAAAAAACTACCTGCATTTAAATATTTAGGCACATTTTAGTTTGGGTTTGTATGTTTTTACAGGTTAAACTGTCAGTAAAACTACAGCAAACAGGAAAAAAGCTCATCTTTAACTGTTGAGTGATAAAAAACTAATGTTATAAAATAAAGGTTTGATCTAATGCGATGCTGTCTGAGTTAAAACTCTTCAAGTGGCCTGTTTGTGTTCAGAGCAGCATGGAGGAGGAGGAGGAGGAGGAGGAGGAGGAGGAGGGAGGTGATGAAGGTGGAGGAGGAGAAACAGAGCTGATGATGTTTTTGAGGAGGAGGATGAGAAGAAAGACACGACTGGAGAAGCTGCTTCACCTCCAACACTGTTTGTGTCGGGGAGGGGGGTGGCAGATTATTACACGTCAGATTATAGCAGAGTGTGTGTGGGGGGGCAGATTATTACATGTGAGATTATAGCACTGGGGGGAGGGGAGAGGCACGGTTAGGGGAGGAGCAGGTGAGGATCACAGTGAAAACATATTTAGTGTAAATTTGACTGATTTTAAATCAAACAAGCACATCTGTCCAACGTTTTCTACTTAATTTGGAGGATTATTACGGCCATCATAATTTCTTTTTGTTACTTGTTTCCAAAGAATTCTGAAAATAAAACCTGAATTCTGAGACAAAATTCCAAAAACATATTTTTCTTCTTAAAATTCTAAGATTAAAGCTAAATTTGTGAGAAAAATTCTGACATTAAAAGCAATAATTTTGAAATTAAAGTCAGAAATCTGACATTTTTTCTCAGATTAAAGTTAGAATTCTGAGATTAAATTAAGAACTGAGATTTTTTCTCAGAATTTTTAGATTCAGAGTTTTTACATTTTTCTCAGAATTCTCAGATTAAAGTCAGAACTCTGAGACTGAATTAAGAAATCTGACAAAATTTCTCAGAATTTTTAGATTAAATTCAGAATTCTGACATCTATTTCTTAGATTAAAGTTAGAATTCTGAGATTAAATCAAGAAATCTGACAGAACATTCTCAGAACTGAGAATAAAGTCAGAATTCAGAGACAGAATTAAGGA